GGGGGGGGGGGGGGGGGGGGGGAGAGACAGGAAAAATGCTGTCTACAAATATTTCATGTCCTATTTTTCCCCACACACCTCCACGTGGAGCCCAGCTGCAGCACTGTTTTTGTCTCAACCAACATTTTCCATTTTAACTTTTCTGTCAAAATAACCTCATTTGTCTGTCATGATGTGATTTTTTTTTTTGACTAGTGAGGCTAGACCAGTAACTCCACCTGGGCTCTGGGTATGACAGAGGTGAGAACGCAGGGTGGGAAAATCAAACTTGTCTTTAAAAAAAAAAAAAGCGGGGCGGGGGGGGGGCAGGAACTAAAATGGGTGCTTAGTTGTTTAGGCAATTCTCTCTACTTCTATTAGAGATTAGTGATTCTAGGTGGAAAAAACAGAAATGTAGGGCTTGAAGGGACCTTGAGAAAACATCCCTTCTGTGCCCAGACAGAACCAAGTAAACCTCCTAGACTGTCCCTGACAGGTGTTCAGAGGTTTGTAAGAACCGATTGGACAATGACAGGGATTCCCGAACCTCCCTTAAAAGCCTGTTCCAGAGCTCAACTCCCCTTTAGAGTTGGAAAGTTGTTCTTAATATCCAACCTAAATCTCCCTTCCTGCAGCTCAAGCCCATTCCTTCTTGTCCTACCTTCAGTGGCCATGGAGAACAATTGATCAACCTCTTCCACAACCCTGAACATATTGGAAGACTGTTATCAGGTCCCCCCTCCATCTCCCTTTCTCAACCCTAAACATGTCCAATTTTTTTAGCCTTCCCTCATAGGGCAGGTTTTCAAAACCTTTGATCATTTTGTTGCTCTCCTCTGGACTCTCTCTCCAATTTATCCACATCTTTCCTAAAGTGGGGGTGCCCGGAAATGGACACAACACTCCAGCTGAAGCCTCAACAGTGCTGAGCAGAGCAGGACAGTTACCTCCTGCGTCTTACATATGACACTCCTGTTAAGGCTGATATCATTCTGGGGTGTATTTTTTGCAATTGCATCACATTTTGGTTCATTCCGTTTGTGATCCTCTATAACCTCCTGATCCATTTCAGCAGTACTACCACCAAGCCGATTCTTCCCCAATTTGTAGTTGTGACTTTGATTTTTCCTTCCGAAGTGAAGTACTTTGCATGTGTCTTTATTGAATTTCACTTGTTGATTTCCAACCAATTCTCCCATTTGTCATTTTGAATTCTAATCTTGTCTTTCCAAGTGTGTGCAACACCTCCCAGCTTGGTGTCATCTGCAGATTTTATAAGCACGTTCTCTACTCCTTTACCCAAGTCAATGGAATTGTTGAATAGTCCTGGCCCCAGGCCTGATCCTTGCGGGACCCCACTAGATACGCCCTCGCCATTTGACCACAAACCATTGAGAATTATTCTTTGAGAATGCTTTTCAACCACTTGTGTACGAATGGCAATTTCATCTAGACCACATCTCTTCAGTTTGCTTATGAGACTGTGGGTCTGTGTCAAAGCTTTACTGAAATAAAGATACAATCTTAGTGGAAGGATATGGTGCATAACCTGTTCCCTCCTCTTCATCTGTGCTACTGCATATAAACACCCTAGGGATCCCGCAGGGCAGCAGTTGGGGTAGCAGCAGCTGCTACTGAACGGGCATGGACAGGTGAAATGCCCGAGGCCCGCTGAGGGGGGGAAGGGGTGATGACCAGGTGTTCTGAGAAGTGGGACTGAGCCTGGCTCTTTGGAAAGTCCCTGTCCATGGGGGCCTGTTGCTGTCCTTTCCGTTCTGAATCTTTCTGATGTGCCAGGCTACGGCTGGGCAGATGAAACCATATAACCCACAAAATTGTCTCCACAGGTGAATCCCCAGACACAGACAAAACGGAGGACTCTGGTGAAAGGAAACAGAACAAGGATACCACACACACTGGAATCAACGTGGTTAGAGCTTGGTATGGGCTTGTTGACCAGGGGAATAGAAGAGTGCCAAGAATAATTTTGAAACGGCTCATTCGAACACAGCCTGGCTGGTTGTGAGTCCAGAAAAAGAACTTGTGCTCCAATTGTTTTTGAAACATGTTTTCTCGAATGACCTTGCATAGTCAAACTGTGGCTGAGTTGCAATCAAGTGAGCTGCTTTGAAATTCTTTATGAATGGTTCTGCCAGCACTGCGCAGTCCTGTTCAGTGGGACGTAGGTACAGCAAATTCCTGAAAAAAGTATTTAAAGCAACATACCCCTTTTGGAGACCACAAGTTTTGCAGAGCGAGAAAAGATGGGCAGTGAATCGTGTCCTGTTGAGAAGATGGCACCAGAGCCACTCCTGAATTCCCAGGAAGCCCAAGTGAAACGCAATGGAGAGACTTGTGTAGATGTCACTACATATGGCAGAGAGAGAAGCAAAAGTTCTCCTATAGGTATAGCTCCATCTTTGGGTTCTTCCTTTTTCCCTTTCCAAGTGTGATTCACATTAACACAGGGAGTGCCTTTAGTGGCTGGGGAAATGTGGGTTCAGATCCCACTGCTACCACCATAGTGTAAGGACGTAACCCAGAGTCAGGCCTTAAGCAGTAACTAGTGAACACCCTAACTGGGAAGTTCCAACATTTATTAAGCTCCCTGCTGCAATACATCCTGGTCCTTTCTGGTAACTGTGGAGGACCAGGAACTCTATAACTAGGCCCCTACCAAATTCACAGCCCAGACCATGAAATCTGGTCTTGTGTGCTTTTATCCTATACTATATAGATTGCACAGGGGAGGCTGGTGTTTCTCAAATTGGGGTTCCTGGCCCAAAAGGGAGTTGCAGGGGGGTCACAAGGTTGTTTTAGGGGGATATTCTAGTATTGCCACCCTTACTTCTGTGCTGTCTTCAGAGCTGGGCGGCTGGAAAGCGACCGCTGTTGGCTGGGTGCCCGGCTCTGAAGGCAGCACCCTGCCAGCAGCAGCACAGAAGTAAGGGTGGCAGTACCACAACCCCCTACAATAACCTTGTGATTTCCCCACCTCTCCCCCCACAACATCTTTTGGGTCAGGATCCCTACAATTACAACACCATGAAATTTCAGATTTAAATAGCTGAAATTGTGACATTGACCATTTTAAAAATCCTATGACCATGAAATTGACCAAAATGGACCATGAATTTGGTAGAGCCTTACCCATGAAGAACATCACTTCCCTT